GGAATGATCAGATAGTTGTGTAACCACAGCATACTTTTTTTCAATTCTGCCAAATCAGTGCAGATCAGTCTTTCTCTAGGGACTTTGGTACTGCGGGAGACAAAACTTGCAAGACTGGTGTATTGCCCAGTCTTGGTAGACTTTTGGTAGACGGAACGCGACACTGTACTATCAGCATTTCTGGTGATCAGAACATCCAAGAACGAATTTTTTTATTAGGAGAACCAGCACCGAACGTAACGGGACTACATAACAGCCAATGGAATAACCGTTTTCGTTGGGACAGATTTCATTGGTTGTTCTTCACTCGCCCTTGACAGATGAGTTGTATTCTTAGTATCACTTTTTTGACCGCTTGTACGCGACGGTGATCAATCAGTCGGCCGCTTCGCACGTTCATTGACTTTTTCAGGCTTGGCCGAGCTCACCCTAGTTCACGGGTTCACTGGAAAAAAAGAATATTTTGGTGGGGTGTTAAAGACGTTCAGTCTGTTCTCTGTCCTTTACCACGAGTAACATATCGTTTAATTATCGGTTATACAAAGGCCGTCGTTTACTATGCTCCTCTGCCGACAGTCTAAGTTACATCGTGAAAACTATCTGCCAGCCTGAGAACTCCCCACTTCGACAAAATCAGTCCGCTTGTAGCTGATGGCTCGAAAGTAGGCTCTAGCAAACTTCGTACACGATAGAATTGGGCCTCTAAAAAGTTCGTTTTGAAATGAATTCATTCACCAACACTGTTGTTCTCGCTGTCTTGCTCAAACTGATTCGGACATCAGTCATTTATGGAAGAGGATGTGCTTGGTATCTTGAAGCACAGTCGAAAACCAGCATCCCTTGAATTACGAAAGTGATAACTCACCTGTGGTTATCTTTTCAGTTACAAACCACAGTCTGTAAACAACCATTTTGGTGCCACAATGCAGTTGTGTGTATTACCAATGCGATGGATCTAGTCCGATAAAAATCAAATTGCGGTTAACACAGACCACCCCGGGAGAACCGTTGCCATCCCCTCCCCCCATGTCTGGGGTCACTTTAAATGTCAAACAGTCCGAAATGCACACACAAACATCACTGCCCATTGGTAATTCATTAGCTAGTTGACAGAATGACAGGGTTTCTACTATTATTGTCAAGTGGGATATCGGGATAATTGCGTAGATCTCGTAGAACTACGATGACATATGTGGAAAATGTGTTCCTCAATATTCTGAAATTTGAGTGGTAAACTAAACCGTTCAATAGGAAGAACATTGAAGACAACGTTTGAGGAAACTGACCATGTTTAGTTGTAAATAATTTATGTACAGAGACGAGATACTTTGGTGAAAACAGTCGGATTGATGGTAAAAAGGATGGAGGTGGGTTAATGACAAACACAGAGGAGGGGGAGTTTCGTTTGTGATTACATTTCATGGGCAGATAGCATGGTCCTAGGTGAACAGTTGTCTTGTCCTCATAATGGATAGTGCTTTTCAAGTTTTGTTCTGGATGTGCATTTGTTTTCTTAGCTTAGTAACACCTATGGATGGTTCAGTGGGCGGACGAACGACTGGCAACCAATGTGGCTGATGAAATACGGAAAGCGAATATTCGACAACGCGCCTATTTTGAGCAGCATCAGTTTGCCCTGTGGAACTTCACTGAACTCAAGTTAACATCAGGAAACCCTTCTCCAAAAAGTCACCTCTCTGTGCTGTTTCACTCAGCGACTGTGATAAAGAAAACAACTAACACATTATTCATTTATTCATCTATTCCTACAAAATTTGCATATTGGTTCAGCCATCACTGTAACTTTTCTTTTGAAGCAATAAGCCAGTAAAAAGCCATAAACTCATAAGAGCGATCAGCTGGCAGGTCGAATGCTTGCTCCGCTGCTTGCTTCCTTGACCAACTCATTGGCTGATAACTTATCCGTGTCTGTGGCTGAGTGAATAGCTGACTGACTGACTGACTGACTAACTGACTCGCTGATTGATTGACGAACTGACTGCCTGACTGACTGACTGGCTGATTGATTGATTGATTGATTGATTGATTGATTGATTGATTGATTGATTGATTGATTGATTGATTGATTGATTGATTGATTGATTGATTGATTGATTGATTGATTGATTGATTGATTGATTGATTGATTGATTGATTGATTGATTGATTGATTGATTGATTGATTGATTGATTGATTGATTGATTGATTGATTGATTGATTGATTGATTGATTGATTGATTGATTGATTGATTGATTGATTGATTGATTGATTGATTGATTGATTGATTGATTGATTGATTGATTGATTGATTGATTGATTGATTGATTGATTGATTGATTGATTGATTGATTGATTGATTGATTGATTGATTGATTGATTGATTGATTGATTGATTGATTGATTGATTGATTGATTGATTGATTGATTGATTGATTGATTGATTGATTGATTGATTGATTGATTGATTGATTGATTGATTGATTGATTGATTGATTGATTGATTGATTGATTGATTGATTGATTGATTGATTGATTGATTGATTGATTGATTGATTGATTGATTGATTGATTGATTGATTGATTGATTGATTGATTGATTGATTGATTGATTGATTGATTGATTGATTGATTGATTGATTGATTGATTGATTGATTGATTGATTGATTGATTGATTGATTGATTGATTGATTGATTGATTGATTGATTGATTGATTGATTGATTGATTGATTGATTGATTGATTGATTGATTGATTGATTGATTGATTGATTGATTGATTGATTGATTGATTGATTGATTGACTGACTGACTGACTGATTGATTGATTGATTGACTGACTAACTGACTGACTGGCTGGCTGGCAGGCAGGCTGGCTGGCTGGCTGGCTGGCTGAATGATTGATTGACGGACCGACTGACTGACTGGCTGACTGATTGACTGACAGACCGACGGCCTGAAAACGTGACTGATTGATTGATTAAAATGATTGACTGAGTGGGCAAATGGATAGGCCGGTGAGTGTTTGTGAGTGTGTATACTTGACTTCGTGTACTTAATCACTCCTGCATCTCTTGTTCATTTGTACTGAACTTTATACATGATGAAATAATTACCCTTCGGCTACATATAGCACTTTTCACGTGTCGCATTTGCAACGGTCCTTTGGTCGATTTGCACTAAATGCATAACTTGAATTTTCTCTAGGACGGGCAGAACCTTGCCCCAAGTATGACTAAACAAGACAGTTTTGTAACCTGATCTGTGAAATGTGACGCACGTTTTGTAGCTGACGACCAAAACTCCCATGCCAGTAGTACGAGAGTGCGTGTTCTACAACAGTCGGATTCCAGGTGTCGATCAGCGCCGCCAGCCTCAATCATAATTCGATTAAAACTTAATTAAGTGATAGGAGGAGACACAGAGGCCTTTTTTTTTAGTTAACTGACCTTATTTTGAGTCGTGATCTAGAAGGAATCACTAACGGTAAAGTAATGGTGAGAATCCTGACAGTAATTTCCAAAAGTGTCCTTCCGCGCAAAATCTGTCTAATTATTCAATTTGATTTTGTTTGACTGATTGAAGGATTTTTTCACTTACTTCTTGGTGTATCAAGAGTAAGAGTTTGAAAACACAGTGAACTCGAGTGTAGATGTTGAACAATGATCAGAATCGCGGGACACCCATGAACATTGCTGCACTAAACACATTTACACTTCCGCTGAGGTAGGTATAAACCTGTCCTGTGGACGTAGCTTTGAAAAAAAAACAATCGATGAATCCGAAGCTAAAACCTTTTTCTACATCATAATCTACCGACTCCACAGCCCGGATCTGAATGGTTGCTAGAGGCGCTGCCTGATATGACTCCTCGATCGTCCGGTGGTTCGATTAGAGGGATCGTTGTCTTGGCGGAAAAACAGGTGCCGAAAGTGACGGTGGTGACTGTGTACCTTACAGCTGACACTGAAGGTCTACGAGAGACTCTCTTTTAGGTCGCAGGTAGTAAAGGGTTCACACGGAAGCTTGATACCGGTGTGTGTAGTACTGGCTTGTATTCATACAGCCCTCTGAGATGAGTAATTAACTGTTAAACAGAGGATAACGGTTCATGCGTAAAACTAACGACTTGAAAGTCCAAAACTGGAGCCCAAACCCAGAATTTTGATTACTCCTGTAAAGGCTTGGTAGACCTGGTAGGATCTTAGCCCTCGTATGTACTTTCAGTCACATAGCAGCCACTCACTCTGAGGGTGTCACAGCAAAACAGCTGACTAGGTGACAGACTCATGCAGCGTTTAGATTTTGGTATACGTAGAATCCGCTTGTAGTTATGCCGTAGTTATAGGCTGGCACCATCTAATAAAGGGAATCTCAGGAACCCAAGCGCATGACACAAAGTTGCACATTCTATTCTAACTGAAAGCTTGACAGCGTGACAGTCTGTACAAATGGAAAGGACACTTTTCCCTCGACATATCTGATATGATCCAGTACATTCAGTTGAAGAATATCATAAACGGGAGATTCAGTTGAGTCTCTCGTGAAAACCAAATTGATTTGCAAACGAGTGTATTTCTCAAAAACAGTCCAAGTTGGGTTAAAGTAGATCATAAGGTTGACGAAACCTCGGGGACTGCGCCTACCTGACGAGCCCAAGAAGGGCGAAACCGGTCGTGGGCTGTCGAAGAGTTTTCAGCAACCGTGTGAGTAGTTTCCTTTATGAAAATATACCGCAGCACATTCAGCTGTAGAATATAATAAACGAGAGATTCAGCTGAGTCTCATGAAAACCAAATTGATTTACAAATTAGTGTAGTTCTTGATCCGGACACTGTTTACAACCGGTTCTTGTGGGATGAATGCGAGGCATACCAGGGTAAAGATTCAGTGGAATTTACCAATCTAAACTACTTCTCTGTGCTCTCGACTAGTACTAGCTTCATTCCAAATCGGCAGCACCAATCTGACAATTGCTCCTAAATTTCATCTTGTTTTTACATGACAGTTCTCCGCGAACATCAGTACAAATGTCTGCTGGAGCAGGAAAAACGATCGGAACAATGTACCGTACATCGAAACGACACGATACGCGAAGTCGTGGGGGCGCTCCAAAATCAATCCAGTAGGGTATCAACCAACTCGAATGAGTACTACTCGCTGATCAAACAAACCCTTTCTCATTATGAATGCAAGTGAGTCACGTAGTCGTTTCTCGGTATTCACTTTTAAGTTGTGTTTTGTTTGACGTCTAGTGGAACTTTCTGCCTTTATAAATGAAAAAAATCAATCCATCAAACAGTCGGCATAGTTAAACCCGATACAGCCTCCTAAAACTGTTGCAGTGAAACCGATGTTCGTGCAACCCAGGATATTTGGTCCACCCAACCGTTTTGTCCTATTTTAATATGGGTTGTTCTTTCACCATCTAATGATTGATTAGGTCGATCACATTTAACCGATCACTTCTGTAATTGGCAGTCCATCTGTTCACTGAGTAATGCTCAGTCAAGGAGGGGAACTCTGGTTGAAATTATACACAAGTAGCGAATCTGCACCGCACCAAACATTTCCCATTCATCTAGCCAAAATGTCCGAAATGTCAATCTTCTTTCTGTCGAGTACTGTCGGGCATCGACACCTCAGGACTTTTAATTTCCCCTTATTTAGGGTTAGAACTTCTACGCCGCGATAGGCTATCCTTTTCATCTAACCTGAATCAGCCTTTTGTGAATCCACACAGGCAGTGCAGCTTTGTGAAACAGTTTAACTGGCCATCCCCCCGATAACTCCACTCTCCCATCTGACTTCTCCCTGCAGAACACTCCGAGCCAAATTGGAGTGTCTCTACGCGATACTCCATATCACCTGCCCGTCGAACGCCGTACGATTAATCATGAACTATTTCAAAGAAAGTTTGCCAGATGGGTGTACATTCAACTACGAAGATCGACTGCTTCGGTATCTTGAATCGCGCAAAGTTGCTCCACATCCGATCCAACAAGACTACGGAGAACGTGGAACTATGGCTGCCCGATCACCAGAATTCGCCGGAAAGATTGCCCCAAAAGCCACCCTGGAGAAAGTACAAGGTGGCGTGTCATCTATCACATTCAAAATCCACTTAGTTTTATATTGTTGTGTCGTGACATTATCTCTAATTGTATGACGGGAAATGTCTGTCTCTGTTTACTTCTAGGAACAGAATTTCTTCATGCTTTCAAATACCTCAACGAAAGGAGTTGCCGAACGAAACGATTTTTTCGTGAAGTGACTATATTCTTGTTTTTGCAAATGTTTGCAAACAGTTGGTCACCCGGTATGCTAAAGATTCCAGGTTCACCTTGCCCACATCTTCCACTGTACACATTTCACCAAATTTGTTACACAATGTTCGTATACCTACCATGATGATTAGATTTCAGTCATCTTTGCAAAAACCACTTTGATACCTGTACGGTCGTGGGCTCTTTAGAAAACGACTTGGTCGGTAACACTCGCCAGAACAAAAGCGGTAACTGTGAAGAACGTTTACTAGGTCCACATGGATTTAGCGGGTTTCTCAAATGCGATCAATTTGCAAGTGCTGTTCGATAATTTGTCGGAACAAAACGTGAACATTTATAAGAAAGAGAACAGGCTGAATGAAGTCTGAGGTACATGGTTCCGTGTGTTTGAGGTCTGGACTCAAAACTCACTCTTGTCAGAACTCATTAGCACTGCATATTCTTGAATAGTCTTGGATATGCCCTGCTGATGAGCTCTAGTAAGAGCAAAATCCAATTCCACCAGGACACGAGGATGACTGTTCAAACAAGAATGAGGTGAGTACGAACCAAATGTTAACGCATACCTTCGAATTCCCGGTAACTCGTGGTTGCCAAGCGGATGGCGCGTGCTCTTCCGGTCCGGGAAGCATGTTGACCGGGTCCCCCACGTGCACTGAAATTTGGTTTTCTGTGGAACACCATAGTTGTTTAGCGGATTCAGCCAAAATGAAGAATATAGGCAAATATCTTCGAAATAAGGCAAACGCAAAGCACACAAATCACCTGGAATGCGTCTGAGTACCTTCCAGGTTGAACTGCCATGAATGATCTGGCGGAACCGGCGGTGATTGCGGTTCAGAAATTTCAACAACATGCTATTCTTTAGAAAGAATATTTACTCCAGGTGGGCAAGTTCTTAAGAAACTTGTGAGTAACAGAATTTGCATATTTGAGACGAATTATTTTCTGAGCGATTTTCAAAGCGGTATTCATTGTAGTGGTCCATTGGTACTCAGGTAATCTCAACTACCTGACGTGTTAAATCAATTTGTTGAAATTCTAACAAAAACCGTAAACAATTGGTTTTCCAGGGCCGAGTGTCTAGGCTTAATACGTGTCATGGTAGTCTTGGCAAAACCGCACTCGCTATCTGAGTTATCTCCAGTCTTAGCTGTTTTGCGCAAACCTCAAATCTACAGTCCTCGCTTGGTATATTGTATCTACCGAGTGAGTATAAAACAAACCTTTCGCAAGCTAAGCTGGAATACGGTGATTCGGGCAACGCTCACCTTCTTCGGTCGTTACGGTAAGCCCCACAAAGGCGATTAGTAGTCACTGTTTCCATTATTGTCCAATCCTGACGTTTTCGACACATTTAATAAGTGAGTCCTCTGAAGACTGAACAGACCAATCAGATTAAAGGAAAGAAACCGCGAAAAATAGAAATCGTCATCTCAGCCAATCAGAATAAAACACAACCAAAGCAGACGACGGACCAATAAGAAGGCATACCTGAAACCCCAGATGAGCTATCTAAGAAACCAAAACGCAGCACAAATCGTAAACAGTCCAGTATGAACAGTCCATATGAAAGATATGCACCGATTAGCCAACTGCATGATTAGATATTAGGTACACTTTGAAAGCTATATACGAGTAAACAGGTAAGGAGAGAGTGCCCACTCAGCTGCGCGTTGACGAAGTTTACTCTATAGGGGACGAAACGTCTGCAAGTTTAGTGGGAAGATCAACGGTCATTTGATCAACTACCAGTAAACGCACCCTAATTAACAACAATTTGACAAATTTGACAACTGGATAGTGTGTGTTTACCGACTGGTCGCGTTGGTGACCGCTCCTCTGGTGGATAGTTTGGCCATTCAGCCTGTGTCGAGGATTCTCTTTCTTCTGCTGAAGAATGGCTGTAACAACAGAACATATTATCTGCGCATGAACTTTCGATCACGTCACGCGTTTGTGATCCTAGACGGAAATTAGGCGGTTACGTAAATTTCTGGGGTCGATGTCCACTAGAGAGTGGGTTCAAGAAATCTTCGGTTAAAACGCCCAAAATGAGCGTCAGACGAGCTCACGGTAAAGAATTGTTTCCACGCTGACCCAAGTTCGGAAACCATACAACTTTTCTTTGGACGCATATATGTTGAGGATTCGCTCACCAATATGATTTATAACAGCCCAACAGTAGTCAAATCGTGGTCAGCTGAGAACTGCTCAGTGTACGACTTGAAAGGTACGACTTTTGTAGGGTTGCATCCAGTTTTCTCACATCTTCACTTGTGCAAGACTACTTCAAAGCACAATCCAGTTGTATTCGGCTGTTTTACCCGACAAACGCCCCGGTGTATGTACAGTGCATGATGTCACGTGACACGAATAAGTACACAACAACTTGTAATCAACCTCGGCCCCTTAGTTTTCTGACGGAACTGGATGAGCAACCAGACTTGAACACGCTATGCCTGTCAGGTGTCGTATATCAGTAGAATGTCTCTACCTTCAACCAACCACTTCAAAAGGTGAGCCAGTTCAGAAAGGAAGTTTTTATGTGCGCGAGTCTTCCGCAATCTGTTTGAAAATTGCGTGATCTTGGTAGGCATACTTCTAGACACGCGTTATCACAGAATGTGCTACATGAAAGTTCTGGTTCCTCCTCTAAGCAACAAAAAATTTTTGTTACGGGGCCCCAGAACATTCCTACTTTGAATGTTCAAATCGATTGAAACCAATTGTGTGTTGTCTTTTAGTCCATGAGATAACTTGACCTCATTTTAAGCTGAAACGCACCTAGAATAAAATCCCAAACCATCCTTTCTTTTTTGAACGTGTAACAGTGATTTTGATATACTCGTGGCAAGTGGTTTCTCAACGGTACCGTGTTTTTTGCTGCTTTATTCAAGAGAACCAATCACAAATCTTTAAGATTCATCGTTCCTTCCGTACAATTCTTTTCTATGGGCGTAAAAAAGTTCCCCCGATTGTGTGGCCCCACCGGGTAAATAGCAGAATCAACCAAGGCACTTTTCAACCATAATAAAGACTGGGAAATCAACATGCCTATACCATGAGCCATGGGTTGAATATTTTTTCACAGTTGAGGGTCTGATAACCGTAAAACTACAGCCCCCTCTTGCGTAAAGTGAAAACCGTCTTTCCAAAAAAATTTCCTCTGAAAAAGATTCTAAGGACAAGAACTTGGTGAAATAATAATCGTTCAGTTGTAACACCCTTTCTGTGCCCAGCTGCTACCCGAAGCATGAGGGAGTGGATACTGCCAGGTTGCCCAAGCCTGGACAAAAGAAGTCAAGAGGCAGAGGTCGGGTTCGATCTTCCTGTCTTGGTGATTCACTTGTTTCTGCTATGTACTACTAATATTTTTGGCGGTTGACGGATTAGCACTTAGGCAGAAGCACAATCACCGAACGAGTGTTCAAAAGTCTTGTCTCAGAGTTCACCCTAAATATGCTGAGTCTCAAGCAACCACACCAAGCTGATATTCGACAAATAGCCGTCACAGTGCGACTAACCACAGCTCAGATCAGTCCGGTCATTTTACAACCGGCTGGCTTTTTCTCAACGTGAATTTAACCTCACGTGTCACAGTCAAGTAGGTTAGATAAGTGGAAGACGTATGTTAAACTGAGGATAGTTTAACCAGAGTTTCTTCAAGGAGAACATCTATTTTTCAAACAAGTGGGCGAGTGAAAATCCAAGTTTCTTGTCCTTCTACTTGTGCTATTTAAGTAGCCACTATCAGGAGTGGCTAGTCCGAAGAAAATAATTATCGACCTAGGATTGGATAATCACATAAGCGAAGTGAGCTCAGACTCGGTGACCTTCATCACTGTTGCCATGGAACATTCCAATATTGGTTGCATTTGTTTGCGTTAACGCCTCCTGCTATCTTGAGTTGAGTGCCATGGGCAAACGTAGGAATAGAAAAAAGCACAAACAAAACCGACTGCGGGTACGGAGGTCGAAACTGAAGGGTTGGTTGATCAGGTTGGGGATTCGGCCCTGTGATTACCTCTGTCGTTATTTGTCAAGACGTTTGCGTGGCGGAGTGTGTCCCAGAAGTTCGTGAATATCGCGCACTGCTTATATCAACTATGAACTGTTCATATCGCGCATGTTTATTGGGAGCTCTTTGAAAGCTTTCCTACAAACAGGTTGTCCACTGTTCCCGTATTAGTTTAGTTTCGTAATTGATGAGGCTAGAATTTTATCTCCAGAGTCTTCAGATATATGGTGAAGACCTTGTCTACCTGAAATGCGCAGACATTGTTTTTCATTTTTGGAGCAAGAAGCCCAAACAAAACTAAAACGCCCGCCGGCCTTGTCCATTCTCCCAGCTGCTAACCTACTATCATCCAGGGGGCTGGATCTTGGGGGTCTGTGCTGAGAAATAGATTCCGGGCATCTAACAAGATAAGATGCACGATGTATACCTCAGAAGGCCCCATGAACTCCTTAACACGGACATCCCCAATTGGAGTATGGACTTAGCAATCCGCCGCTTCTGAGTTGCATTCATCGTGAAAGCTTAGAAATCTTATTCAGCTTGACCGAGTACCATTTCTTGTTTTCTTTTGGCTGTTAAGTCCGTTGCCAAACCCACTGACAAACGTCGCATGCCCAACCAGATCCCCTACCCGTTTTAAGAAATTAGACTGTCCAGCTCATTCGCACTCACTCACGACCGCCTTCCTCTGAGCATGTACATCGAACCAACGATTGCCTAATCCGCCAGATTCACCTACTTGGTCACACACCTACATGAACTTGACAAGAGATAGACACTGGCGATTAACTCAGCAATCAAGTACACTCTAGACTTGAAACATCACAAACCAGAGATTCAGCTGCGTTCCAGGTGAGTCTCTTGAAAAACCAAATTAGTTTGTAAATGAGTGTATTTCGATGATTTCGTGCAATTTGTTGTCAAGTAGAACATAGGGTTGACAGAAACTCGGCGACTGCGCCTACCTGATGAGCCCCAAGAAGAGCAAAATCGGTCTTGGGCTGTCGACGAATTTTCAGCAACCTTGTGAGTAGTGCATTACAAACTACGCTAGACTTGTTTGTTAACCGTCCGATAACTCAAGCTCGG